ACGTTTTTTTCCTTCTCATCTTACTAGTTAGGAGTGTATTTTTTTTTGTTTGCAATTGAATTACCTGGAGGCAGGGCCCGATCTTTTCAAGGTCTTTGCCTTTAAACATCTTGTCAGGCCTTGCAGCAGCCACTTACTAGTTACATAATCTTACCCAGGTTGCTTTACTCCTGTGTCTGCAAAATGGTGACAGTAACACCCACAGGGCAGGGCTGTTGGGAATATTAAAATGAGATATTGGTGAAGCCCATGACAGTTGGTAGATGCTCAATAAGGAGTGGGTATGATGATGATGATAATGATGATGATGATGATGATGATGATTTAGAGGAAGCATTAGGAGTCAGTCTTGTTGCAGGTTCCTGTTATAGATCATTTTATGTTTACCGTAACACTAAGGTCCTGTTATGTTTTGGATCCGAAATGAATCAACTTTGGCAACTTATATGTACCGTAGAACTCAAGGATAGTGTATAGGGAAGCAGAGGCACGATGGAAAAGATGGAAGACTGGGGGTCCAAGGGCCAGATAGCAAAAGCAAGGCAAACGGATGAATCTTACTATGCGCCTCCTTTTTTTATTCCATCTCCTGGGACTAGTTTCCTTTGTGTCAAATAAAATATAGAACCTGTAGGTGAGAAGTGTCTGTATCAAGGTGAAAACTCTGCATAGGGGTACAAAAATATGGAACGCTTCACGAATTTGCGTGTCATCCTTGCGCAGGGGCCATGCTAATCTTCTCTGTATCGTTCCAATTTTAGTATATGTGCTGCCGAAGCGAGCACAACAGTAAGGGTTTCTTGGGAAGTATATAAAGCCTGGAATATCTAATCTTTTATAGTTATGGTGATTACACTGTGCACTTTTCAAAATTCCAAAGTATTCAAGAAGTTATGACCTTCTGTATCATACATACTGTAATTGCATCTTTGGAATTATGTCCACATTAAATCTAATTGTCTCCCTAACCTTCTTACATTCTATATGCAAATTAAGGGACCATGGGAAATTGGCCCTCTGCCCGCCCGACCTCTGCGCTGCTTGCAGACGGCGCCCGTAGTTACGCTGGGTCACGTGGTGCGAGCTGCCGCGCGCCTCTCGCGCTCAAGCAGGGGTAGACGCGGAGTGGTAAGTCCTCCCGCTTACTCTCTAAAGCGGCGGCGCAGTGCCCCGGAAACTACGCGGGGCAGCATGTGCGCGGCACAAGTGCGTATTCGGGGCGAAGGGCCGTGGTGCCTATAGGTCCCCATAGAAATCTGATCTGGGATCCCGAAACGGTTGTGAGCCACTGGTCGGGCCGGTCCCCGCGCCGGGACCCGTGACTCGTGGAAGGGCTAGAACCACCGACCGTGAACTGGTGGGGCTGGCAGGAGCGGCCGAAGCCTGCGGCTCCAGGCCGGACGCCGCCTGGGGATGGGGCAGGGCGCGCCGCCTTTCCCCTGGGCTTCTCAGGACCAGCGTCCTGCACTTGAAGCCAAGGGGCAGAGGGAGGAGGTCCACTTTGGCGCCCAGGCTTTCCGTAGTGTGACTTGGGGGTGGTGGCCGTGTAGGAAAGGTCACTACCCTTTGATCCAGCGCTGGGCCAGGCACTTAACCTAATCAGTGTCACACATCCACACCCACCCCTCCCTCAATTTTCAGGGTTAGGAAATTAAGGCTCTGGGAGGTTAAACCATCAAGGCCACAATTATCCTGCCAGTGGTGAAAAAAGTTGGGATTCCAATGCAAGTCTAGTTTCAAAGACTGATCTTTTCCTTTTCACAGTGAAACTCCATAAGATTTAGGACCAGGAGTGTGGCTTCCATTTACCTGTTAGACAAGACTCCCAAACCCTTATCCGCTCAAACTTGCTTCCTGCCTTCATTCCGCCACCAAACATCCGGCACCTGTGGTGTCAGCGCGGGGCCTGCAGGGGTGAACAGGTGGTTAGGATTGAACAGGTGGTTAGGGCTGCTGTGGAAATGGAGCTTCCGTTCCAGTAAGGGAGCCAGGCAGAGCATTCTCAGCGCTGAGCCCGGCTAGAAAGAACATGGGGGACAGAGAGTAGGAAATTGAAGGCCACTTCAGTAGGTGGCAGGAGAAGACAGGGTATTAGAGCTGTCACTTGATGGTAGGGAGGCAGCTCTGAGAGGATAGGATTAGAGAGTACCAGGCAGAGGAAAACCTTGGCACTACCTGAGTCAGTTTCACCCATCTGGGCCAGTCCTTCATGGGAAGTCACTGTGGAGGCAGTTGGTGTGCTGTGAGAGCGGAGGGACCCACTCAGCTACAGCCAGAGAGCACCCCACCTGGTTCCTGGGGACTTTGGAGCCCCCCTCCTCCCACCTGTCTTTAGTGAAATGGAAATCAGGTGCAGGCTGCCTCACTTCTCCTCTGACCTCTCTCTAAAGAAGCAGTAAGCAAATGCAAACCTCAGAATGCTAATATGGCCTTTATTGAGCGAAAAGAGCTAATTTGGGCAATGATGTTTCCCTCAGATTTACAAAAGGGAATTGCAAATAATGAAAAAGCGTATTAGCATTGATGGGAGATGATGCTAATCTTCAATTAGCATCCGCGTTTTTATTCATTTATTTAAAAGGAGAGCCTTTTCGACACAGTCGATGCGCACACGTGTCACGGTGACAGGTTCATCTGGTGGGTTCATAACTGCCTTATTGCAGAAACCAGCAGGAGATGGACCAGGATGCTCACCATTTCTGGGACATGAGGTGGGCTTTTGTTGTTTGCTTTTTCTTGTTGAGCATTCGTGGCTCAGAGAGCTGAGTTGTAGTTCCTGCAAAGACTCCCTGCGCTGTCTTTGTCACCTTGGCAAACTCCCAGGCCCTCTCTGGTCTTTCGTCTTCTGCAAAGTAAGGAAACTGCCCTAGAGATGATCTTTAACATCTTTCAGCTTTGACATGCTGTGATTTTTGTAACTGGGTAACTGAAGGACATTTTTTGAGATTGTAATTAGCAAGATGTAAAAATTCAACACTGTTTCTGTTTCATGTTTTAGAAGAGTGGGGCATGCTGGTCATCCTTGGGGCATGAAGATCCCAGGGACAGTCCACAGGGACTGTTGTGGACCTGGGGTCTGGGACCTGCTGAACCATACAACACTTGCCCCTGAGCCTGAAGACTCAATGTGGAGGAAATGGGTTTTATGTGGCATAAAGCTGAGAAGAGACACATGGAGGGACCCAGTGAGAGAGAACTAAGGGTATCATGATTTCCAGGGAAGTCCAGGCCTCTATAGACCCTGATGGGACAGACGCTGAAGGAGCGTGTGGGTGCCAGGGAGGACTGGCAGTGTCAGCAGTCTCAGATCTGCGGTGACGCCTGGCTCCTCAGAGCTATTGGCTTCTCTCCACTCTGCAGACCTGAGGTGGCCTGAGTTCCGACAGTCTTCCCTAAATGTTGGGGCTGCAGAACCCCAAGAGATGAGAAGTGGTTCCCCTAATCCTGTCTGAGGTGGTACTTCCCACTACTCTGAGTGGGAGAGAACAGAACCAGCTTTAATTAATTTTGAACAATGAAGAACTGGGCTGTTTCATAGTGAAAAAATGTCAGTGAAGACATGAGCTCTTAGGAGTCTCTGAAGTGATAATATTTCCCTTACAGCCAGAGAGCACCGAGTGTTTTCGTATATCATTTCATTTGAAGTAAGACGGGCCAGGGACTCCCATCAGCCCCACCAGAGGGAGGAAGAAGCAGGGATGTGGACAGAAGCAGGCTCAGTCTTCTCTGTGCTGGGAAACCGTAGGAGTGAATGGCATTTGTGGCTTCAGGAGGCGTTGCCCTAGATTGTAGGGCAGAGACATGCTGAGTTCACAGGCTGGACCCTGAAGCTCCAAAGGCCCCAGACATAGAGCACGGCTGGAGGGGCCTGGGTGTGACGGAGGACCCACCCCGCAGGCTGCCAGCAGTCCCTTTGAACAGCTCATGCGTGACTTAAGCCTTGTTCTTGTAACATCTCATTTCAAGTGTACTCTCACCTAAATCACCTCAGTGTGAATGAGTCCAGAGTTTCCTCCTTTGCCTCCCAGTAAAGAAGGCTGGGAGGGGGAGTGGGGCGGCAAAACAGGGTCTGGGTGTCCATAGCTTAGAGAGTGGCCTGAGGGAAGAGGCGGGGTCAGCTGTGGCCAGCAGACCCCTCAGAGGGAGTTTCTCCTTCCAAGCCTCCTAACCCCGTGTGCCTGGAGCTCTTGGCCTCCTGGCTTGGCCCCTGCAATAGTTAGATAATTTCTAATCCATCCCAGATGCCCAACCGAAATGGCGTGCTAATGCTGCTTGTGTTTGGAGAGGGCGCACAGCCCAGGCCACACCTTTCATTCTCCCCCAGATCTCATATTTGTGCCTGGAATTTAAATATCTGGCCATTTTCCCACCTGTAGGATCATGACTGTGCTGCCTGCTTAGGGGGGCTGTTTGAAGATTAAATGCAGAATTGAATGTGAAAGGCCCTAGCACATTAGAGGAGCTGATTCATGTGAAGTGTTTAGCCCTGGGCATGTGGGAAGTACATGGTAGGTATAAAGATACTCAAGCCATAGCCTCTTCCTTATTCTTTCCTTAATTTTGCAACCATCTGGATAAAACTTTTTTAAAAAGTGAAAACAGCTCCTTTTTTTGTTAGCTACTGCAAAGGCTTTCTTAGCTACAGTGGAAATTTCTTTTGTAGTAGCTCCTTAGCTTTTCTTTTTTTCCCCTTTTCCTAGCTACCATAGGGACTGTTTTCACCGAGAGGTCTTTAATCCTTTGGGTTTGAGTTACTGAAGGCCCTGGTTAAAATGCAGCTATGTTGCTGGGAAGGGACTCCACATAGACTCACGAACTCCAGTTCACTCAGCTCAGTATGAATCTTTGCCCTTTAAGATCAACGCAGAGGGTTTTTTTTTGTTTTGTTTTGTTTTGTTTTTTTTTTATTGGGCAACATTGTTTTCCCAAGAAATATCAGCTCCAAGTCAAGTAGTTGTTTCAATGTAGTTGTGGAGGGCGCATCTCAGTGGCCCATGTGGGGATTGAACTGGCAACCTTGGTGTTATGAGCACTGCGCTCTAACCAGCCACCCCCAACACAGGGTCTTCTGATGTTCTCTACCTTATTTCAGTGTCTCTGAGAGATAAGCACAGGGGAATTTATGATTCCTATTTTACTGACAGGGAAAACCGAGGCCTAGAGAGGTAAAGTGACACTGTTAGTCAGTCTAACTGGAATTTGCTCTCGGACCTCTGACTCCAAGGGCTAACTTTGTACCTAGATGGAATACGGGAGTACAGTTTAAGGGGTCCTGGCAAGCTCTCTCTAAAATCTCTCTCTGTTGCTGTAAATCCTGCCATTGATGCATGATTATTTTAAGCTGTTACTATCTTAAGGGTTCACTGTGATTTAGCTCAAGACCCTTTCCCCTGGCAATCCCGGGATGGCCTAGGGGCATGAGATGTTTAGGGTTAGGGTTTGGAAAGTATGCTCTGAAAGAGCATGCAAAAAGAATTGCCAGGTCCAAGTACAAAGTCCACCAGCATCCCAGTTTCTCTATGTGGGGTTACAGGGTGGGAGGACAAGTGTGACACCTCCAAATCCTTGCTGCCCTGGAGTCCAGTCATCACTCATCCCCCAGGTTACACTGACAGAAAAACTGCAAATGGCGAGCCAAGAAGGGCCATATTTACGTCCTAGCAATGAGCCTCAGTTTCCTCATGTCTAAAATAGAAATAAGGCTTTCCCTACTTTCTTTCTAGGGTCATGAGGCCCAGTGAGAAATCCCACTGTAAAGTGCTGTATAGCAGAAGGTAGGAATATTTGCTTGTTAGACAACCCATCTAGCCTCAGGCAGTTAAATGCTGCCCTTACCTGGTGAGCTAGGCATTTGTGCACTAGGCACAGACCTACAAAATACAAGCACCAGGATGAACCACAGCGATGTATTAATATTTTCACACCACTTAACTCTCATTAAAATGTACTTTGCTGAATTTAATATGTGATTTCAAATGACACAACATATTAAGTGCTTAATATACTAGAAATTATGAAACTATTATCGTGTTGATGCTATATGAAATAATTAGACTGAATTAAACTTTAGCAGCCAAGTGAAGGAAAGACTTCAACTTACAGTGTCTTAAAGTAGCTTAAGCCACAACTGTAATCCCCAAAATAAACATCCAGAAATTAGGATCCTTAAATAAAAACTGAAACTTAATCTGTACTTACACGAGCTCTTCAGGGCTTTGGTGATGTGGAGTGGTGTTGCCTTGGGGAGGTGAGGGGCCCAGGGAACCAGGCCAGGGCAGGGTGTCAGGTTCAGGGCTTCAGCTGCTGTTCCCGGGGCCTGGCGGAAAGATGACTCAGATGGCTTGGAGTAAGGAGTAAGGCTTTCTGTTGAAGTGACAGACTGGACTTCTTTGCCCCAAATTAGCCTATTGACAAGTTTAAAAACAAACCCACTTTATTTAACATTTATTGAGTGCTTCCTTTATGCCAAGCATTATATATGCATTTTCTTATTTAATCTTCACAATATATCGATGTTATAAGCCACCATTTTCAGATGAGGAAACTGAGGCTCAGAAAGAGTGAATGATCCAAGCCTTTATAATCAGAATCCATGGTGTACAGCCCTCCATCACAGATGGCCTCCTCATTATCAAGTGTGTGAGTGTGTATGTGTGCCTGTATATATCACTTCCTATTGTAATAATGATTCGGTGACCAGATACATTATCTACTATCCAAATGTGACTCACGACCTATGTCTTTTTTTCATGCTAATAACTGAAAACTTTCTTATTTAAAAAAAATATAAAAATAATATATGTTCACTTAAAATAATTCAAACATTGCCCCAAAAACCCTCAAAGGTAATGGAAACCCTTCATAGCTCCACCTAGCATATATTATTATTACGCTAAAATGGGTTCATACTCTCCATATTGTTCTTTAACGTGCTTGATGGAGTGGATTTGCTTTCTGCCCCACTTTTGTAAGTGATCTGTGAGTGTTTCCTCCCAGCAGTCATGAGTAGCTTGACCAGCTGGACCTACTGTATTCATCTGAGATTGTATGCTGCCTTCATCCTTGAATAGCAAACCAACTGTGTAGGATATTCTTGGGTCCCAGTCTTTCACAGTACAATGGATGAGTTCAGCCAATAGCAGAAATGTTTAGGGACCTGCAGAAATTCAGTCCAGTGGATATTCAGTTGACTTCCCTCCTCACTGTTGATGAAGCCAGTTTTGTCTCTATTTGCACATTCATTTCAATATTCCTGATCTATAAATGTGCCTGTTCTTTACATTCATCTTTGAACTGATTGTAGGATCTTACTGGGTCCTTGGTTAATAATGAGTTAAATAAAATCTTTAATATGTGTTCATTTTATATTTGTACAAGAGTCATGATTTTACCTTTTGTAAAAAAATTCTCCATTAACAGTTCTTTCCTGAAAAGTTGAGAAACAGTGTATTCAACACTATAACAATGTAACAGGTGTGATATAATGCTACTTAGACAATAGAATTCAAATATGTATGCACAGTATGATTAGAACTACAGTAAGACTTACCATCTTTTTGACTCGGTCCAATCTCTCAATTATTTTCACTTTTGTTTCCATGGGTATTGCTTTGCGCTTCCTAGCAGTCCCCTCCACATCACCACTGCTTTTCCTCTTGCTGCCGGACATCCTGGGCTCTGATTGAGCACTGCACTACTGTACACTATCGCACTGTACAGTAAGCACACAGCCGCACAACTGTGAAAATGTCCGGTAGCACATGAGCTACTTCGCGATTTGTTTGCATCTACGAATGTTCGTAATGCGAAGTCCGTTCGTATATGTGAAAGTTAGCAACTCGAATGTTCGTAAGTCGGGGACTTACTGTACATTTAACATTCTTTTTTTTTTATTTAATTTTTTATTGGGTAACAGCCATGGTCATTGGTTACACATTGCTTTCATGCTACAGTGGCATAGCTGACTCTTTTTTAAGGAGGCCGCAGCTCACAGTGGCCCATGCGGGGATCTAACCGGCAACCTTGGTGTTATGAGCACCACGCTCTAACCAACTGAGCTAACCAGTCACCCTACATTTAACATTCTTATATAAAGAAAGACTGAAAAAGATAAACCAAGGTGTTTAGACTGCTTGGTATTTTTCTTTATTACATTTTCCAAAAATTTTTAAATATGGAATGATGCCACCTTTATTACAGGAGTCCAGGAGGCTAAATCTAAGGCTTTTGTTATTATGGTGCAATGATGATTTTATGGGTCTCGAAGGACTCTAGAGGGGCATCCTGGCCTCTGCACAGCCTCTGCTATGCGAGTTCTGTTGGGGAGTAAAGAGGCATATGATGATATTAATAGAAATAATAATGAGCTAATGAGCACATATAACATCCCAGGAATTGTGCTAAGCAGTATCTAACCCTCACAACAACCCTAGGAGCTGCTTCTGAAAAATCACCCCACTGCTGAATTCATTGCACTGTGACGTTCTGATTTTAAACTTCAGGTTGGGGTCTCCTTGCTGTGTTGATATCTATACAGGTTGAAATCTTGCCTCAGCCACTAATACTCCCAGTTGGGTGAATTGGGCCTCACTTTCCTCATCTCTTTAAATGGCCATCCTGCAGCATGCCGCAGTTATTATGACGTTAAACGTCATTGGAGTCCTGTGCCCTCAAAAGGCAGCGATTATTAAGAAATTCCCCCAGCTCTTTAAGTTCTGGGGAAACAGCTAACCTCAAAGGACCACGTTGCTCTCACATATTCAAAGAAGAGAAACCCTCTCCATCCTTTCTTACTATTCCCATAAGAGTCACTGATGAGCTGATGACTTCCTTGTTTACCTGTCTCTCTAAACCTCAGGCCCCTTTCCTTTTCTTTGAGACTTTCCTCATTAATGAACATTCTCCATATTGCAATAGCCTGAATAAAATCTCCTTCATTGGCTGGTGCCTTTTGCATTCACAATTATCAGAGGTGGTTGCAAGTGTCCATTGGGTGGGGTATCCGGAGTCCCAGGTTCGTCTTGGCTCACCCATGCCTGGCTTCAGCTTTGGGCAGGTTTCAGTTCTCGGTGGAAAGCTAACTAAGGGTCTCTTGCTTGCAGGATATGTGAGTGGTAACGCAGGCCCTCAACCCCTGTGCGGGGAGATGGGGCCTTGCGAGCAGCTGTAACTTTAGCACGCTGCCACCAGAGGGCGGAGGAAGGCCATCGCCTCTGCACAGGCTCCTGCAGGGCCTTTAAAAGGCGCTCTAGAAGTGGACGCCAATGCAGGGTTTTCAGTCCACCAGCGCTTTTCCTAGCTCCCTCTACTGCTTTCCCCTGCACCCTCCGCTGCACCCCAGGGGCTGCCTTCATACTCCCACACCCAGATAGTCCTCCTCTGCCGATGCACCTCTCAAGACTCTTGTGTGTGCCAGAGGTGGGGGCTCAAAAGCCAGCCTTGAGCCTCCTGGCCTCTAGCGCTTATCTAGTGTAGTGCCAAGGTCCCTTCCCCTCTTGCCGTCCTCTGGCCCCCTTCTCCAGACACGAAGAATTCCTGAGGCATCTGTGAAATGGGGAGGAGAGGTAGAGCTTTGGATTGCTTTAGGTACAGCACTTCCCTAGTCACACCCATCAGCTATTTAGAGCACCACAATGTCTCCTTAATGTGGGCCAGGCAAGAACTGTTACCCCATCAGAAAGACGGGTCCTAAAGAAAAAGTGATTTGCCTGTGGTTGCATAGCTAGTAAATGGCAGAATTGGGACAGGGACTCTGTTCTCCAGGCCCCAAACTCCTAGCCCTGAGGGTGGGCACAGCCAGAGATGGATTACTACTCGGCAAAGTTAAACTTGGGCTGCTCCAGCAAAAAGGGGCCAGGACGTGTCTCAGGGCAGAGACCACAGTGCAGCTGCTAAAGGACACAAATTGTAGTTTTCTGGATTGACATGGTAAGATGACCACATTTGCTTTTTAAAGTGTACATGTGTATATACACATTTTAAAAGCAAATAGAAATAGAAAAGCCAACTCCCCACAGTGGCTGTCGCTGGTGGTTGGAATCTCAGTAGTGGGAAGGGGGTTTTCATTTTCTCTGTCTTGTTCAAGTTATTCATTACTATTATGTATAAACCCAAAACGAAGAAGGATCATATTTCTTTTGGCGAAAAGTAATACCTCCTTGATAAAAGATTGGAAAATACAAAGGAGAATGAAGAAAATAAGATTCATCACTAATGTTCCTCCCCCCATAGATATCAATGTTTTGATTTTTTTCCTCTACAAAATGTAAATAACAGTGTTAACTGTACAGGGATGTTGTCAAGGATGAGAGAATGTATGTAATAGCTAACATTCCAGAAGTGTGAGCTATTTTTATATATCACAAAATCAGCACTGTACTGGATATATCATTTATATGCTGTTGTTTTCACTTATAACATTGCTTCATAAAGTTTATCATGTCAACAACTATTCTTTAAAAATATATTTTCAGTGATTGCACGAAATTTGAGTACAATTTATTTAACCTATCCCCTGCTGTTGAACCTTTAGTTTGTTTCCAACTTTTGCTGTTAAAATTACAATGAGATCAACATCTTTAAACATCTCTCCTTGTCAGCATTTCTGATTACTTCTTTAGATGGATTTCTAGAGATAGGATTACTGGGACAAAGGGTGCAAATATTTTTCAGGCTTTTGATTCAGGTTACCAAATTGCTTCCCAGAAAGATCTTGCCAATTTGCACTCCCACCTGCAGCGTGTGGGACTGCCTGTCCCACAGCAAACAAAAGAGG